AATAATATATATATATATATATATATATATATATATATATATATATATATATATATATATATATATATATATATATATATATGAACCCGTAATTTTAAAAAATACAATGAGTCACTAATAAAAACTTTAAAAGCTGAATCCTGGATCTGCCTCTGATTAATGCTCATCTAGAGTTTGCATGTAACTAATAAATGACCTGATTGTATAATAAATTTCTACACTGACAGTGCGTCGAACTTAAACTCTATATAAATTAGGCCGCGCCACTCTAAATTAACTGAGTTTAAATTTTGGATTCACCTCTGCATAATCATTTAAACAGAAAATTACCTTGTTAAGATCAAGAGCTACAAAAGCCTCCTCTGCTTTCTCCAACCTCTCCTTCTCTCTGGACAAACTATCACGAACCAAATTCTTAAAGAAACCCACAACTGGATTGCTGCTGGTTTCACTATCAAGCTCTTTCAGTTTCCTATCAGTTCTCTTTTTCTCAAGCTTTATAGCAGTCTCAATTGAAGGATTCCCCATAAACTTCTTGAATTCTTCATCAGTCTTCCAATCCATTTCTTGTTGTTTCTCCCTTTCTATTCTCTCAGACTCTGATTCTGACTCATGCTGAGAACCACTCTCATGATTCTTAGATGAATCATTTTCTTCTGAAGCTACAGCCACAGAAGAAGATGAACCCTCATCTTCTTTCTCAGCTTTAACAGAAAAGTTCAATCTTTTTCTATTAGGAACATACAAATTCAATCTTTTTCCATTGGGAACATAAAAATTCAATCTTTTTTGGTTGTAAGTGGAAAATAAGGAAAATGAGAAGTGGGTCTTTCGGCAAATGGAGGAGTATTTGGAAATTGAAGAACATGAAGTAGCACAAAGAGTAGCCATGTGAGGGTGATGAAGAATGTTCTGAACTGAAGGGCAAACAACGTCGAACCCATTTTAAGGAAGAGCAGATTTTGACTGGATTATGTGAGGGAAATCTCTAGAAAGTTGGAGAACAAGTACAGGAGCAATGCGTTCTCTAGGTAGTGACAATGAAATTGAAATGTTGAAACCCCACAGAGATATTGGATAATACGACGCAGAAAACTTTGTGGTGTATGAAATTGGACTATATATATTGTGCATGATATATAATTCCAGGTAAGTCAAAATAAAACCGGGTTGAGTTTATCCGTTGCGTCTCATTCTGATCTAAGACGATCATGAAAACTGAAAGGCAAGGGAAAAGAGGACAAGTGGCTTTGTTTGAGTTAAAATAATACCATTTATGGGTTAGAAATAAAATTAGAATTCAACTTACTTTTAATGATAGTTTCCTAAATTATAATTATGGTTTATAAAAACAAAAATGATACTTTATTTTAGACAGTTATCTTATTTGTGTTTGACATAACCAAGGAATAAAAATATACTTCGTATTTCCTTTTTAGTCCGTGCAAAAAAGAATGACACATTTTTATATTGAAAAACAATTTATCTTTATGCAATGATGTATAGCCACACAAAATATATGTATCTCATTTTGCAATATTGGTTCAAAAGTTTTCTCTTTTTCTTAAACTTTGTGTCTAGTCAAATAGATTCGTATCAATTGAAACGGAGGGATACTACCTAATTAGTTAAGGCCCTTAAACTTATAAATCTTCAGTCATGCTACAATGGGTTAGGAATCTTTTGTCAAAGCAGTTTTTGTGTATATAATTGGCAGGCTGCTAGAGCCTTCATATAGAAGTATTTATATTCAGCATGAATTCCATTCACATAATGCGATGGGAGTCTATCTACCATATAATTGACTTAATTGATGAAGCACAAGTAATCCTTCAGAAATACTAAGAAAAGAAAGAGCATGAACACTATATTATACTCCTTCCATTTCAATTTGATTGAATCTATTTGATTGCATACGGAGTTTAAGAAAAAAGACAAAACTTCTGAATCTTGTGGTCTAAAACAATTCATATATATTTGTATGACTGTAAATATCCCATTAAGGGTAAAAGTAATTAAAGTTAAAATTTTATCAAATTTAGAAAGGAATTATTCTTTTTGAAACTGACTAAAAAGAAAATATGTTCATTCTTTTCGAGATCAAAGGAGTATAAAATAGTCATTCCGTAATGATTGCCAGTTCCCCTTTTCGTTCATGATTAGCATTTAGCACCACTAAAACTTGCTTGTGTTATAGCCCGTTTGGCCAAGCTTCTAAAATCTGCTTATTTTGAGAAGTGTTTTTCTCAAAAGTACTTTTAAAAAAAGTGCTTTTGATGAGAAGTAGTTTGTGTTTAGCTAATTAATTAGAAAAACACTTCTGAGCAATAATTAATGTTTGGCCAAGCTTTTGAAAACTGCTTCTAAGTGTATTTTTCTCAAAAGTGCTTCTCAGAAAAGTGCTTTTGGAGAGAAGCTACTTTTTTCTGCTTCTCCAAAACTGCTTCTGCTTCTCCTCAAAAGCACTTTTTTCTGCTTCTCCAAAACTGCTTCTGCTTCGCCTCAAAAGCACTTTTTTCCTTCAAAAAGCTTGGCCAAAAAAAGCACTTTTGGCCCAAAAAAAAGCTTGGCCAAACAAGCTATTAGTGTGAATGAATATATATCTGATTGATTACATTTTGATCTAGTAAAATTATTCAACCATTCCACGTACAATTAGTCCTTTTTATCTAACTCTAACTTCCCTAAGTGCAATTCATCAACAAAAAAGAAATTGAAATATGCAAGTTATCCATTAATTAAAAGAAGAGAAAACGACATGTATAGGTTGGATCAATTCCTGAGTTCACAGCGGATCCAAACACGATTTAAAAGCTCTTTCTGTTGCCTTATATCTATGGAATTGTCTTTCAATACTTTGAATGCGGCAGCTTCCAATGAATAGTAAACATAATCGTTAGATGTGCTGAAGCTGGGGAAAAGAAGAGCATCGTCCAAATTTACGTTCATGCCACAGACGGCAATAGATGAGGCTTCGCTAATGAAAAGAAGCCAGTTTTTGACTTCTTTCACTAATTTAACCCTGTTGTCTCTAAAGTCTAGTTCATAAACACCAACATTATGATCTCGTGTCATTATCACTGAATATAGCACATCTTGATCCCGTTGAACTAAATATTGACTGAGAGGGCTAGAAATACGAGGTGAATATAGTAGACTAATTTGATGGATAACCCAGTAAGGATTTCCGTCTTCTAAGAAGCCAAATGCACCAACATCACCATGCCGGCCTACGACACAAAATTTTTCGCCAAAGTACACAGGACTAGAAAAAACTATGAAAGGTACCTCATTGTCCATTCTCATACTAGTCCAATTATCATCCCCTGCTCTCAAATATGAAATCCTGACTCGATGCGAGTCTAAACAAGCTATACCAAAGATCACCCAGGCAGATGAATTAGATGGAGAAGCTGAGAATGACATAGCGTCACAGAAATAGTCATCTGTTCGTTCTGGAAGATGGATTATTTGTTTACTAGAAGGCTCAAGTAAGAAGAGAGACCTTGGACCTCTGGAAACAAGAAGCCAACCATCTTTTGAATACCGAATTTCAAACCCTACTAAGTCATTGTTGCTCATATAACATGTCAGATTTCTAAAGGGATTATAAAAAGTGCACAAACCATCTTTTTGATTTAGGGTTAGAAGCCACATGGAGTCTTGATCAGACGAACGAGTCGGTTGATCAACCACCTTCCAACGTAATGGAGGAGCAACAGATCTCCATAATTTACACACCAACCGAAAATTCATGTACAAGTATGCGTCTTGAGAAAGTAGATGCCGAGAAATTTCCCTTTGAAGGTCTAAAGTAAGATGGTCGCATATGTTGCTGTCTACTACTACTGGCTCCGATGTATTACTGTGCTCCGAGGATGACCGCTTCTTCACCTTGTCGTCTCCTTTACGGCTACCTTGATTTTTGGTGGTTCCAAGCCTAAATTAAAACATGGCCAAATAGTATGAAGTCAGTCGCGTATAGAATACAATATTAACAAACATTTAGGTCTAGTAATAACACATAGAAAAGAATTAACTACGTAATTGATTGTTTTAGTTACCTTTCCAGTAGAGGAATAGAATTGTGAGAGGTATGGATACGAAATCGCTCTGTGGTTGACAAGCTTTGATCCCCAATGTGTAAGGCAAACAGAATGTGATTATCATTGCCTTGTGTGAAATAAACACAGTTTTTTTCTTCAAGTGCAGATGAAGAAACTGCAACGGAGAATCCTTGACTTATAAAAATGATAAATTTATCCAAATTGAATATTCTCTTGAATTGTTGTGTTTTGAAATCGGCCTTCCAAATCTCCAAGACTGATCCCAATTTATGTTGAACCAAAAACAAATGGTTTTGCCACGAAACCAAAAGTCTCTTTCGATACATTGCAGTTGGATCAGTTGGTGGTGTGATAGGAGACAGACAAGTGCTTATTTCCGGGATGATCTGTATTATCCCTAGTTTCCCATTCTTATACAGAGTGCATAGTTTCTCACCGTTACAAAACGAGACAGCGTCGCGCAAGCTACTGTAATGAAGTATTACCTTTTCCCACTTTTTATAAAAAGGGGGACGACATATTAGACAATACAAGTCGCTATTGAAGAATAGAGAGACGGTGCAAAAGTAATCATCTTCCAAATAATTGTCAAAAATAGTCATAAGTGGAAGGGGCTTGAACAGCTTTGTTTCCCATTCACTGTCGTAGCGGAAGCGAGGGAGCCTGATTATTGTGTGGCATTTGAAGTGCCACACAAAACACCGTCCGTATGTGTAGTTATCAATAAAAAAACCCCAGTCGTTCCAACGACCCTTGCAATATCTACCCCTCCTGTTAACATCAATTTGTACCTTGCTAATTTTAAAGCTTGGCAACGTTTCTATGGATGGCAATGACGTCATGGCTAGTTCTATACACCTTTTTTTTCTTTTCTTCTTCTTCAGAAGAAGATGTATATTGCCGAGTCGTTTGTGGAAAGCTAATTCGAGTTGTGGCAGGATTGTTTAGGATTTAATATTATAGTGAAAATTAATATAGGAATAGGTTTCCATATTTCTATTTAAAATAAGTTTTCTACTATTATAAATAAGGATATTGATAGCTTATTTTGAGTGTGGATGAAATAAATAATCGTAATAAAATATTTTTTCTTCGTTCCCTTTCCTATTTGAATTAGGATTTACTATTTTGTTTTTTTCTTTCCTTTTCCTTAGTCATGTCAAACTCAAATAAGTATTTCAAATAATATCACTCAGGGTTAATTGATAAATTAGGTGATAATATGTATTAATTAATTACCATAATTTAATGATAACTATATCCGTGTATTAATTGATTTGATGTAATCACTCGGTGCGAATAAGTTTTTACCGCTGCTCTACTACTTTGCCGTTCATATCCTCAGATACCAATTACTCTGGCCTAATTGTATTTCAATCTGTTTTTCATGTCAATTTGACCAATTATATATAGGAGGGCAAAAGTACCTGGATAAATACATTTACTCTTATTATATTCACACACTTGAAGTTCTTCGAAAGATATTTATTACAAGTAAATATTCTTTTTCTTCAACATATTTGTAGAGCAGTTGGTCAAGCGATTAAAACAACTGACTTTCAACTAATAAATACACACTTTATATCCAAATACCCAAACTCTTTGGGGAAGAGTTTGGGTATCCAAATACCTTTTTGTCAGAAGACTAAATTGGACCCACATTGACCCCATTGTATTCTCACTCGTTTCTACTACGAAAAACTCCCTCCCCCTAAGCATTGTCCATAACAAATGGAACTAGTAATGTGGAAAATAAGCCAAATTTCTTCTGAAGTACGTTGTATACGGTCGAGATCGTATGCCTTCGATCTATATGCTCGAGAGATCGTCTAAAGTCTGAGTTCAGGCGAGGTCGAGTTCGAGCTTCAGGGACCAGACTCGAGTTCGAAGGCAGAGCACGATTCATACCGAGGTCGAGTATGTTCGACCCCGAAATAGTATCGTTATGGACTTGTAACAGAATGAGCCAGATTCCTGCCACGTCCCCAAGATCATGGAGCAAATCCCGGAATAGGATTGTACTATTCCGTACCAGGCGGTTAGACAGCTGTACCAAGAATATTACTTACTGTAAATAGAAATATACCTTATTTAGGGTTCCCCTATTATATAAAGGGGACCCCAATCATTTATAACATCATCTAATCATTGAGAAAAGAATATACTCTCTACTTTTTGCCTACTGTTCATTAGAATCGTCTTTTAGCTCTACTGTTCTTACTTTACTTTTCTTGCTTAATTGTTCCTATTGTTCTAAGCCCACCTCGAGGACACTAAGCTCGAGGTCACTGTAGCTGAGTTACATTGGTTTGATTCACTTATTTCTTTCACTTCTATTTCATATTTCTTGATTATCAGTTGGTATTGAATCTAATCACATATCTTTAAAACCACAAAATAAATTTAATTGTTACTCGAATTTTCGAGGTAAACAGTTTGGCGCCCATCGTGGGGCTAAAGATAATAGTGATTGTTTCTTTACTGATTCTCATTACACACGTTATCTTTACACTTTTTCTTGTCAAGAATTTTTTTCTCAGACTGAAACATGTCTAGCTCACAAAATGCACTTGTTCATGACAACGAAGGTCTTGGTAAAAATAATAATATAGGGGTCGGTGTACCACCGATAAACCCTGGGGAAGTGCCAAACATGGAACCAGTTGACGTTAGTTCACATATTGCTCTAAACACGGATTTAGGCCCAGACCCCGGAGGGAGTGTACACAGGGAAGCTCGACCTGGTGGCCAAGGAACACCAGGAATAAGAGATGTGGGAGTCAGCCTCCTAGTGATATTCGAGATGCTGCAGGCTCAGCAAATCGCCATCGCTTAACTTCAGAGTCAGAATAAAATTCCAAATACTGCCGAACCAGTAAACTCTCGACGTACTGAACAAGCGCTAGAAAGACTAAATATTGGGATAGCATGGAGAAAGATACTAAGGAATTCATCGATGGGCCATTGGCAGTATGTTTGGGACCGGGGACACCGGTTATGTTCTACGAGAAATCCACGAAGGTACTTGTGGGAATCCCTCTGGCGCCGAATCTTTGATTCGCAAAAATATCAGAGCAGGATATTATTGGGATAACATGGAGAAAGATACTAAGGAATTCATCAAAAACGGCGATAAATGCCTACGATTTGCATCTATGATCCATCAGCCCGGGGAACAACTCTATTCGGTCCTATCCCCGTGGCCTTTCAGGAAATGGGGAATGGACATAGTCGGACCCCTACCAACGGCCCCGGGTAAAGCTAAGTTTATTTTGTTTATGACTGATTATTTTTATAAGTGGGTGGAAGCACAGGCCTTCGAGAAGGTCCGAGAAAAAAAAGTTATCGACTTCATTTGGGACCACATCATATGCCGATTCGGGATACCTACCGAGATTATGTGTGACAATAGAAAACAATTCATCGGCAGCAAGGTGACAGAGTTCCTCGAAGCACATAAAATAAAGAGGATATTGTCGACACCGTACCATCCAACTTGAAATGGACAGGCCGAGTCAACGAACAAAACTATCATTCAAAACCTAAAGAAAAGATTGGACGATTCAAAGGGGAAATGGAGAGAAGTTCTTGTCGATGCCCCTTTTTCTCGCGAAATCGGGTTTATGACATTTGGGCAGACAACTCATTTCCTTTTGGGAATTGGGCTTGCAATTTTGAAGAGTCGCCACCTAGTGATTAAGTGCATTAGGACACTAAGAAGAAATTTGATTTAGAAAATCAGAGATTGGGTAAGGGCTTGAAATTATCTCGAGGGGAAGGTGTTAGGCACCCCTCAAGATCCACTAGTGTGGTTCCCGGCCATGCTACAATTGTGACTTTAAGTACAAACAACAAGTAAACAAGCAAGAATTGTAAATACTAGATAGCTTTCACATAATGGTTGCAAACAACTGAAGTACAAGAAATTAAAGAAGCTGAAATTTGGAAGAAAGCAGTTGTAGAATTCTGGAAAAAAAAACACAAGTAAAGGGGAAGGGGTTCGCACATAATTGATGCAAGTAATCGAAAAAAAGGTGAAAGAAGCGGATGTTTTGGGTAGAAAACAATACTGAAAATTAAACAAGTAAAAGGGAGGTTTTTTTTTTTACATAATTGATGCAGGTAATTGAAGTAAAAGAGGTTAAAGAAGCTGAAAAATAAACAGTTTTTAAAATTCTGAAAAATATAGACAAGTAAAGGGAAGGGGGGTCCTAGGTTTATAAATAATATGGATGACCCCACACAACACCCGGTAATCATTTATACACGTGGTGTTGTTGCGTGGTCATCATATCCATATCTACCCTTTCCCACCCCGTTAAGGTATTAAAGCGCGGAATGGTCTCGTTATTTATTGCATGCTATTACCCGTCCCAATCCTATCAGTCCCGGAGGCATTTGGGGCTACTAGTCCTAAAGGGGAGGGAGATTTGGGCTTTTCAGAGTTTAAAAGGATAAAATTCTAAGGCGACAAACAAAACACATAAAGCAGATGTGGGAAACATATAACAGTTAAAAGGGCTCAGACAGGCCTCCTCACTTAGAGACAGATTGTTTAGCATGTCTTGCACGTACTGGTTATGGTCTAAATTAAACTTAAAACGTCAAGGCAGGCTGATTTATCACATATTTTCAGATAAGAAGTCCGAATTGGGCCTGCCTGCTGGTTGTAATTATCAAAGACTGGTGCAGTTAATTAATTACCTAATGGCTTGCCTAGGTGAAACCTATAGGCATGATATCTAATAATGCAGGAGTACACTGATTTAAGGAAGGCTTGCTGATTATAGAAAACATAAGCTCTGCAGGTATTGAGGCTTGATATTTACTAATTTTAGACTTGGGCGAAATAGGCGATTCAGATTCAGATTAGTTGGTTACTCCTATAGGCATGCTTTCTAAGTTTTACTGATTTTAAAACGTTTATAGAAATGCAGGAGTCTTATAGGCATGGTATCTAGAAGGCAATTTATTATTTAAACCTATAAATTATTTGCCTAGTGATAGATGTTTATGCAGAAATTAAGAGATCCTATTGACAGGTTCTCTATATGAGGTGCAGAAAATGCAAAATCCTATTGACATGTTCTCTATATGAGATGCAGCAATGCAGGAACTATTGATAGTATATCTATGTATGAAAGACAGAACTCATGATTTCTAAAATGCAGAAAAACCTATAGACAGGATTTCAAGAATGCAGAAATAAAAGCGGGATACGACCGCAGAAGTAAATACCTAAGAGCATAATGTCTACCCTTATGCATACATGAGTCACCCTCCCCTTTTCACTATAAACCCCATAAGTTATTACAAATTATTACAGCCCAGAATGAATAAAGAAAATAAAATTACATCAGCAATTAGAGTACAACCAAGGAGAGCCTAATTCAGACTCCAGGTCTGAAACATGAAATAAACCAACTCCAAAGATCCAATTTCCAAAGACTTTCTCATTTTTTGGGTGTGTCAGAGTTCCCAGGAGCTTCATGAACTCCGGTCAGTGCTTACACCCAAATATAGTGCAGAATTGAATTATAGTGCAGTGTGGAAGTGCCAGCCCTCAAATGTCCAAGTTCAGAGGAAACTCAAGGTCCCAAAGCAAGGCTCATAGGAGGGGGGCAGAACTTAGAAACTAGGAGTGAGTGTAAGTGCAATAGAGAGGATTCTGGGGAAAGCCAAGACAGGCTCACACCCAACAATTGGAAGTGCTGGCACACCCCAACCAGCCTGTTAGCCACATTGTTTGGGAGTTATGATCCTTTGAAGGATCAAGCACAAACATGAACAACAATTTGGATGCTGCCATGCCTGAACCTTAACTCAAACACATAGAGGGAGT